AAATGTATATGCACCTGGAGAAGAGAGAAGTGTAGAGGAGAGAGAGAGATTTTGGGAAATGTTGAGTGAATGCATGGGGAGTTTTGAACCAAGTGTGAGAGTACTTGTGGTTGGGGATTTCAAAGCTAAAGTGGGTAAAAATGTTGTGGAGGGAGTAGTAGATAAATTTGGGGTGCCAGGGGTAAATGAAAATGGGGAGCCTTTAATTGAGCTATGTGTATAAAGAGGTTTGGTAATAAGTAATACATATTTTATGAAAAAAGAGGATAAATAAATATACAAGGTATGATACAGCACGTAATGAAAGTAGTTTATTAGATTATGTACTGGTGGATAAAAGGTTGATGGGTAGGCTCCAGGATGCACGTTTATAGAGGGGCAACCGATGAATTGGATCATTATTTAGTTGTAGCTACCGTTAGAGTAAGATGTAGATGGGACAAGAGGAAAATGACAACAAGTAAGAGGGAGGTGAAAGTGTATAAACTGAGGAGGAAGTTCGGGTGAGATATAAGCAACTATTGGCAGAAAGGTGGGCTAGTGCGAGTATTAATGATGGGGCAGGGTTGAAGAGGGTTGGAATATTTTAAAAATGCAGTATTAGAATGTGGGGCAGAAGTTTGTGGTTATAGGAGGGTGGGTGCAGCAGGAAAGAGGCGTGGCTGGTGGAATTATGAAGTAAAGGGTGTGATAAAAGAAAAAGGTAGCTTATGAAAGGTTTTTACAAAGCATAAGTGTTATACAAAGTGTAGAGTATATGGAGAGTAAAAGAAAGGTGAAGAGAGTGGTGAGAGTGCAAAAGGAGAGCAGTTGATAGAATGGGAGAGGCATTGTCAAGAAATTTTAATGAAAATAAGAAAAAAATTTCGAACAAGTTAAACAAGCTAAGAAAGCCTAGGGAACGAATGGATTTGTCAGTTAAAAACAGGAGGAGGAGTTAGCAGATGGGGAGATGGAGGTATTAGGTAGATGGCGAGAATATTTTGAGGAACTTTTAAATGTCGGCGAAGAAAGGGAGACGGTAATTTCATGCACTGGTCAGGGAGGTATACCATCTTGTAGGAGTGAAGAAGAGCAGGATGTAAGTGTGGGGGAGGTGCACGAGGCATTATGCAGAATGAAATGGGGTAAAGCAGCTGGAACTGACGGGATCATGACAGAAATGTTAAAAGCAGGGGATGATACAGTGTTGGAGTGGTTGGTATTTTTGTTTAATAAATGTATGAAAGAGGGGAAGGTCCCTAGGGATTGGCAGAGAGCATGTATAGTCCTTTTATATAAAGGGAAGAGGGACAAAAGAGATTGTAAAAATTATAAAGGAACAAGTTTACTGAGTATACAGTGGACCCTCGACATTCGATACTAATCCGTTCCTGAGAGCTATCGAATGTTGAAAATATCGAAAGTCAAATTAATTTTCCCCATAAGAAATAATGGAAATCAAATTAATCCGTGCAAGACACTCAAAAGTACGAAAAAAAAAATTTGCCACATGAAATATTAAGTTTAATGCAATAGAATAATTACAATAACAACAATAACAATAGATTAATAACAATAGAATAATTGACACTTACCTTTAATAAAGATCTGGTGATGATTGATGGGATGGGAGGAGGGGAGAGTGTGGATGGTGTTAGTGTTTAGAAGGGGAATTCCCTTCCATTAGGACTTGAACTGGCAGCCTCACCATGCCTTACCACACTGTGTATGCCACTACGATTCTTAAATCTTTCAAACCAACCTTTGCTGGCCTTAAATTCACTCACATCACCACTAGTTGCAGGCAATTTCTTTACCAAATCATCATGCACTCCGACACACGCACTCCACTTTCGTACTTTGCAATTATCTCTTTCTTCATTTCAATAGTCATTAGCACCTTTTTTCTCGAAGGGTTGGCACTAGAAGCTTTCTTGGGGCCCATGGTTACTTATTTTGCAGAAACAAGCACCAAAAACAGTGATAATATGGATAATATGGAATGTACCGAATGTATCCTTAGACGCGCGCACACTGGCTGGCTTGTAAACACTGGCACACACGGTGCAGTTCAGGCCACACGTGGACACGTCTCGTATGAATCGTATTGAATGCCGGGTTTTCCATCGAATGTTGAGGCGAAATTTTTGTGTTAAAATGCATCGAATGATGGATTCATCGAATGTCGATGCCATCGAATGTCGGGGGGTCCACTGTACTAGGAAAAGTGTACGGAAGAGTTATTACTGAAAGAATTAGAGGTAAGACAGAATGTAGGATTGCAGATGAGCAAGGTGGTTTTAGAGTGGATAGGGGATGTGTAGATCAAGTGTTTACATTGAAGCATATATGTTAACAGTATTTAGATAAAGGTAGGGAAGTTTTTAATGCATTTATGGATTTAGAAAAAGCATATGACAGAGTGGATAGGGGAGCAATGTGGCATATGTTACAAGTATATGGAATAGGTGGTAAGTTACTAAATGCTGTAGAGTTTTTATGAGGATAGTGAGGCTCAGGTTAGGGTGTGTAGAAGAGAGAGAGAGACTACTTCCCAGTAAAAGTAGGTCTTAGACAGGGATGTGTAATGTCACCATGGTTGTTTAATATATTTATAGATGGGGTTGTAAAAGAAGTAAATGCTAGGGTGTTTGGGAGAGGGGTGGGATTAAATTATGGGGAATCAAATACAAAATGGGAATTGACAGTTACTTTTTGCTGATGATATTGTGCTTATGGGAGATTCTAAAGAAAAATTGCAAAGGTTAGTAGACGAGTTTGGGAGTGTGTGTAAAGGTAGAAAGTTGAAAGTGAACATAGAAAAGAGTAAGGTGATGAGGGTATCAAATTATTTAGATAAAGAAAATTTGGATATCAAATTGGGGAGGAGTATGGAAGGAGTGAATGTTTTCAGATATTTGGGAGTTGACTTGTTAGCGGATGGATTTATGAAGGATGAGGTTAATCATAAAATTGATGAAGGAAAAAAGGCTAGTGGTGCGTTCAGGTATATGTGAAGACAAAAAACGTTATCTATGGAGGCAAAGAAGAGAATGTATGAAAGTATAGTAGTATCAACACTCGTATATGGGTATGAAGCTTGGATTTTAAATGCTGCAGCGATGAGGCGGTTGGAGGCAGTGGAGATGTCCTGTCTAAGGGCAATGTGTGGTGTAAATATTATGCAGAAAATTCGGAGTGTGGAAATTAGGAGAAGGTGTGGAGTTAATATAAATATTAGTCAGAGGGCTGAAGAGGGGCTGTTGAGGTGGTTTGGTCATTTAAAGAGAATGGATCATAGTAGAATGACATGGAAAGCATATAAATCTGTAGGGAAAGAAAGGTGGGGTAGGGGTCGTCCTCGAAAAGGTTGGAGGGAGGGGTAAAGGAGGTTTGGTGGGCGAGGGGCTTGGACTTCCAACAAGCGTGCGTGAGCGTGTTAGATAGGAGTGAATGGAGACAAATGGTATTTGGGACCTGACGATCCGTTGGAGTGTGAGAAGGGTAATATTTAGTGAAGGGATTCAGGGAAACCGGTTATTTTCATATAGCCGGACTTAAGTCCTGGAAATGGGAAGTACAATGTCTGCACTTTAAAGGAGGGATTTGGGATATTGGCAGTTTGGGGGGATATGTTGTGCATCTTTATACGTATATGCTTCTAAACTGTTGTATTCTGAGCACCTCTGCAAAAACAGTGATTGTGTGTGTGAGGTGAAAGTGTTGAATGTTGTTGAAAGTATTTTCTTTTTGGGGATTTTCTTTCTTTTTTGGGTCACTCTGCCTCGGTGGGAGACGGCTGACTTGTTGGAACAAAACAAAAATTGATAACAATGGTAGGTTTAGCTCTCATTTCTTATATGGATAGTCTATATTTATGCAAAACATTCTGAACTAATACTGATGATAAAAAAAGTATCACATACTAATGTATTTAACATGTACTAAATAAATATTTAACATGGTAATAAAAAATTTAATGAAAATTTATTGAGTAAAAATCACCTAATTTAACTTCAATGTCAAAAGGATTAAAAATGAAAAGAATGTAATAATGATTGCAGATATGGCATCATTAAAATTAAAAACTTAAGACTATGGTGTACAGTAATTTATAACTTTCAAAATACATTAGGGGCAATATCTGGAACTGAAGGAGGGGTGTTAATGTTGCAGTTTAAAAACTGTAGTGTAGAGCACCCTTCTGGCAAGACAGTGATGGAGTGAATGATGGTGAAAGTTTTTCTTTTTCGGGCCACCCTGCCTTGGTGGGAATCGGCCAGTGTGATAATAAAAAAAAAAAAATAATCTGGAACTGAATATAAAAAATGAGGAAAATACACAGCATAAAGTGACTAGGGTAATTAAACATACAGAATTTCAAATTTTTGTCTAAATTCACTATTAAGTTAAAACTTTTAATTCACCTGGCAAGTTATAAATTTTCCTTTAAGCAAATTTAGGGAACAGGGGACTTCTCAGGAATATTTACTCTATTGTATCAAGGAATCTGGTAATGTAAACTGTAAAAATATTGTACAAATACCTGCATCATTCTAATGTACATCAAAACCAAGTACTAAACCCACACGTTATAGTATATTTATGCACTGTGCTATACTAATGACTCAATGTACGGCATTTCCATAAACCCAATACAGTGGACCCCCGGTTAACGAACTTTTTTCATTCCAGTAGTATGTTCAGGTGCCAGTACTGACCGAATTTTTTCCCATAAGGAATATTGTGAAGTAGATTAGTCCATTTCAGACCCCCAAACATACACGTACAAACGCACTTACATAAATACACTTACATAATTGGTCGCATTTGGAGGTGATCGTTAAGCGGGGGTCCACTGTACTGTCACTGTAAAACTTTAATGGAATGATGACATCATTTATTCTAGTCACTTAACATGCCCTAATTTGGCAAAGCTAGGCCCTATAGCATGCTAATTTATAAAATTTGTACTAAAGCTACACATTCTTGTAAATACTGTATATGACAGTACTCACAATTTCTTATATCTGAAATGAAGACCGCAAGGCCTCGCATCCCATCTCCTCGCACTGCTGGCATGGTTGATGTGGTTCTGTAAATACAATTAACATTAATAAATTGTGTAATAAAACACAAACCTACAAAAATGTTGTATGCATGTTTTAAGCAAATTTCCTAAATTTGCTTCTAACAGTTAGGTGAACTGTAGATATAAATCCAGATGAACTCCTGTCAACCCCTTTTGGGGCAAAGTTCCTAGGCCTTTTGTACATCTATATGCTCCTACGCTACAGTCCACAGGATGGATACGGGGTGCACAATAAACTAGCCACTGAAGTGGCAAAATCTAATCTAACAAAAAGTGGCTGTATGAACGATTACCCAACCTAATGTCAGACAACACACTCCCCACTCTTCAAAACTTTAAACTTGCTCAAGATACATAATATTTACTCATTATTATTACTATTATGTACTACTGTGTATACTATATATACAGAGCAATCAATTCTAATATAAACCCTTCACTGAATCTCTTCCTTGACAGTTGCAACATACCTCAGAGGCATAATACAAGACAAAAATCTCTGATATCCACAATGTCCAACTCGTGTAAAATTTCAATGCACATCAAAGGCCCTAAAATCTGAAGAGCTCTACCTGAAGATTCCAAAGGTTCCCTATCTGCCAACCGCTTTAAAGCTACAGTTAAAAAAAAAATATTACAGTACGGAGTTGCTGAACACCACAAATGAGGCAGTTGAAGTTCTATCAATAAAGATCGAGAACCAAAACCTAGTCATTGTGGTTGTATAAAAGCCACCAGATGCAACCTCCCAACAGTTCAAGGAACAGCTACTGAAAATTGATTAATGTCTGGAAAGCCTTCCAGCTCCATCCCCAAACATCTTACTGCTTGGTGATTTCAACGTAAGGCATACAAAATGGAAGAATGTAGCGAATAATGTTATAGATGAAACAATCTCCGGAGGTAGCGCAGATGAAAGGTCACACACACACGAGCTACTAAGTCTCTGCGAAAAACACACCTTAAGCCAGCAGATAGTGGAGCCAACAAGACTAGAAAACACACTTTACCTTATCTTCACAAATAATGAGGACCTGATAAGACATAAGAATATCAAAAACAACTAATTCCAATCACAACCTAATTGAAGTCCAGACATACATGCATAGGGGTCCTGATCAGCAGAATGCATGTACGTGTGAAGTTGTCTTCACAAAATACAACTTCAACAAGAACATCAACTGGGACCAGGTAAACCATGTCCTAAATGAAACATGTTGGGAAGATAACTTAAATGACATGGATCCAAACCAGTGCCTTGAAAGGATCAACTTCCTGGCAGCTGAAGTATGTTCTAGGCACATTCCCCTAACAAAGAAGAGCAGGAGTAAACTGGAGAGAGAAAGACGCTCCCTCTACAGAAGACGACGAAGAGTCACTGAGCTCCTCAGGAGTGCTAGAATATCTGATACACGAAAGGAGCTGACCACGGAAGTAGAAACTATCGAACTTAAGTTAAATGACTCTTACAGGAACCAGGAGAGACAGGAGCAGCTTAAAGCTATTAGTGAAATTGAAAGAAATTCAAAGTATTTCTTTTCATATGCTAAAAACAAGGCAAATACCCCATCTAGTATCAGGCCCTTACTCAGACAGGATGGGAGTTACACAGAAGACAACAAGGAAATGAGTGAAATACTGAAATCCCAGTACGACTCTGTTTAGTGAGCCACTAATCAGTATGAGGATCGACGACCCAAATGATTTCTTCCCGACTGAGCCTCATAACTCCATAAATGTATGCCAGATTTCTGACATTACCCTAACTCCGATACACTTCGAAAAAGCCATTGACAACATGCCCATGCACTCAGCCCAGGGCCCAGACTCGTGGAACTCTGAATTCATTAAGAACTGCAAAAAAACCCTCTCGCGTGCCCTAAGTATACTATGGAGGAGCAGCTTGGACATGGGTGAAATTCTACAGTCACTTAAAACAATGGATAAAGCCCCACTCCATAAAGGTGGCAGCAAAGCATTAGCTAAGAACTACAGACCAATAGCTCTGATGTCCCACATCATACAAATCTTTGAAAGTGCTAAGAAGCAGGATTGCAAATCACCTGGATTACCAAAAGCTGCACAATCCAGGGCAACATGGGTTTAGGGCAGGTCGCTCCTGCCTCTCACAACTACTGGATCACTAGGATATGGCCTTGGATGCACTGGAAGAAAATCAGAATGCAGATGTAATATACACAGACTTTGCAAAAGCATTTGACAAATGCGATCATGGCGTAATAGCACACAAAAATACGTGCTAAAGGAATAACTGGGAAAGTGGGGAGATGGATCTTCAACTTCCTAACAAGTCGAACACAAAGAGTAGTGATCAACAGAGTTAAATCGGAGGCTGCCATAGTGAAGAGCTCTGTTCCACAAGGCACAGTACTCACCCAGATCTTATTCCTCATCCTCATATCAGACATACAGAGATATACACCACAGCACCGTATCATCCTTTGTGGATGATACAATTACAAAAGCACTTACATAATTGTTCAAGTTGGGAGCTGTTCAAAACTCAAGGTACCACTGTATAACATTTCTGGTAAATTTTTAAATATTTATACAATAGTACGCATACTGTATAGTGTAATAAACAGAATGGAGGAAATCAGCTCTAATATTCATTATTTAGGCATGCACACTGATCAGAGAGCCCGTCATAACTCCAAGGCTTTGGTAAACGAATACATCGCTAAGCAAGGAGAGGCTGTATTACACATATATAGGCTAAGTTTTGCTCGAGATGCTATGTATTCTTTGGGCCTTCAGTTTAATATATCCTGTGCAGTAATACTGAAATTTTGATTAGTATCTGCATTTATATTTGGCCAACATTGTAATAACCCCCACAAATGTTAAAGCAAATTGTCTTACTAAAACTTCCAACGAATTCTTACAAAAATTCCAGTTTATTTTAAAGATACCCAAAATGCTCTGCAAAACCAAGGACTTTCTATAGAGTATGTCAATATCACCTTTTCCAAATCAATTGTAACCCATACTTTGTAGAAATAAAGTTTATCATTTATCAAACAACTCTTAGCCCAGTGCTAGAGGTATCTGAGGCACGTGACCAAATGGACGAGGTTATGACCAAATTTTCTAACACCTACTGCCCATGTTACCCAGAAGTAGATACCTAGGAGTTAAAAGACTAATGAGTCAACCTGAAGAATGACCCACAGGGTTTCCAAACAGAAATTATTAGTACATGTATGTCTGTTAAGTGCTAGATGAATAATGGAATCAGGTTTAAGAAAACTTGCCCATGCATGCCAACCACGATTCAAACTAGTCCTTTCATTCAGAATCCAAGTGCTCATCATTTTGAATCCATTACATACTTCTTCAGAATTAAAACTTATAACATTCATTTAACAATATACAATATAATGTGCAAAGATCTCGACTACTCTAGATGTTATCACAACACATTCATACATACAATTTAAGTAATTTTATTCAGGTACAGATACACATAAATACAGTTACATAAATTATCATACATAGCAGCATGTGTGTAGGTGACCTAGGATAACCTAAAAAGTCAGAATGACTTATTTCCATTGAGGTCCTTGAACTTACACACAATAGTCTTCTTAATGCTGACTTTCTGAACACCTTCCCGGCAACATTCTTGAATATCATAAACTGGGCTTTGCTCAGTTAATAATATAATAATAATATCTTTATTTACTACAAGTACATGTACATGGTGCTCAGTCCTAGCTGACATCAATGACATACTACTATATAGAAAGCTAATTGTTATACTGAGCATTTCGGGCAAATTAGGCCAGTGTCCCAGGAGACAACCCACACCAGACCAATCATCTCGTACCTAAGACTACATACTGTGTTTGTTAAACTTTATATACATTTTTCAGTAACAAATGGGTTAAAAATATACAGATTTTATTTCCCAAACGAAATTACTGTATGTTATTAGATAAATACTGTGTATACACAAGTATACATACAAGTTATTTATAAAACTGCTTAAAGTTTAAGAGTATTGTAGTGAGAGTAATATTGAGATTAGGTCCTTGTGTGAATCCAATGATAATTTATTCCTGATAATGTCCAATATTAGGTGGGTTTTGCCACCCAGCTCCTAACTCCTGCAAATGGTAAGAAAATTTACCAAAACCCAACCTAAACTAAAGCAACAACCTTATGCCATAGGTAGAAATGGAAATGGAATATCTGTTTATGGTCATTGCCCTTGTTTATGTTATGACTGGCGAGGGTACAATACTATGACTGATGTGCACCTTGTACCAAAAAAATTAACACATTCTTGCATTTTACATAAAATGTGTAAATTCTGATCAGGGTCTAAATTATCTAAACTCAGTGTTGGTGGTGGCACCGTTCTGAAGAGTACTGCAATAAGACCGGTGCAACCAATAAAGCAAACTAGGCAACACCTCGAGTGTCAGCAACTGAACATAAGCAAAATTGGCACACAAGATAGGTATTACAACCATCATAAAAGTAAATACAGTATTCAGGAGCAAGACATCCTACATGTCTTTAATTCAGAATTAACAAAGTGCACAATGTTAGACAACCACAAATGTTAATCAACAGATAATATTTTTGTTTATAGTCATAAGCATAAAAAACATTACACGAATTTTTAATTTTCCAAGTTGAAGTAAATTTAGCAGATGAGAATTAGTATTTGATGTAAACTTATTACTAGTGTAAACTTGTAAATAATTGGGTGGTTTAGCGGTGTGACCCGAGTAGTTAAATACAAGTCATTAAACCCACTTAGGTAATGATCCTGAAACTAGTTGGGAGACCAGAGTGTGAGCACCTGACCTGGCATTACCAGGGTGTAAATGTACACATGGAAGGTACACTTTATTGACCACTTCCCCTGCAACAAGCAGTCAAGTTGGTGGGTGACTCAGCCTACTGCAACACCTCCACCAACACTACTATATCTTATCAACGGTAAATTCCTTACACAAACACGCCAGGATGGTTGTAGTGGGTAGTTAAGCAGTGATCACGGGCAGGCACTACACACAACACAGTGCCACACACACAGCACAGTGCCACACACTTGCCGCAGCGACCTGTCAAACACCACCTTCCACCCGGGTTAATAGTAGACTTATTTCCCCCTTCCCCTTCCCCCTCCCACTTCCCCTTCCCCCACACACACTCCCTCTACTCACCACGACGTTCTTTGGGGGGAAGCAAATAGGTGAAAGCGTGCAAGCAGGGGGGAAATGGGATAATGTTGTGTGTGGACTAGGGCATGAGCGCCATTTGCACCTCTCACCACCCACTTTGTGGCAGCTGCTGCCATCTAGCGGCCCTCCAACACCACCACCTCCAACACCAACACCTCCAACACCTCTTATATCAACCTCTAACTCATTTATCATCCAACTCTAGCCTCCCTACATCTCCCATTATTTACTACTGTCTCTTTTTAGTAATTTACAATGTTAATCAACCTGGTATTAAGAGTCATTGGTTTTCTATGGTACATAAAACACAATCAATAAGCTACACAGAAAATGGGACCGGCAAAGTGGGCGTTTCTTTAAAATGTCTACATTTTTTTCTATTTAAATAACATTTTAATCTTTTACTTGGGAATATATTTGCTAATTTATTAAGTCCAAGTCTTATTATCTAAATGTAACTACTTACGGCTGGGATTCACCTGTTAACTAACATATAACAATATTCTAATATCTCAGGAATCAAAATATTCCTAGTATAAACAGCTCTTATATATACATTGGTGGGATATATACTAATTACTGTACATATTATATCAGCTATTTATTAATATTTAACTCTGTATAAGTTAGAAATAGCAGAAAACTATTCATTGTTACTGTAGAGATAAGTATGAACAAATACATTTAAGTTACTTATTGGTATAAATATTTCATATAAATAACGTTGGTACATTTAACACAACTAAAACAGTTATACAACGATGATAAACAACGTTTTAACCATCATTCAACGAAGTTATTATACATTATTTCCACTGGGATACATGTAGCCCTGGGAAAATGTGATAATAACTTTGTATTATCCAATATTGTATTTTCCAATATTGTATTATCCAGTATTGTATTATCCAGTATTATATTATCCAGTATTGTATTATCCAGCATTGTATTATCCAGTATTGTATCATCCAATATTGTATTATTCAGTATTGTATTATCCAGAATTATATTATCCAGTATTGTATTTTCCAGTATTGTATTATCCAGTATTGTATTATCCAGTATTGTATTATCCAATATTGTATTTTCCAATATTGTATTATCCAGTATTGTATTATCCAGTATTATATTATCCAGTATTGTATTATTCAGTATTGTATTATCCAGTATTGTATCATCCAATATTGTATTATTCAGTATTGTATTATCCAGAATTATATTATCCAGTATTGTATTTTCCAGTATTGTATTATCCAGTATTGTATTATCCAGTATTGTATTATCGAATATTGTATTATTCAGTATTGTATTATCCAGTATTGTATTTTCCGGTATTGTATTATCCAGTATTGTATTATCCAGTATTGTATTATCCAGTATTGTATTTTCCGGTATTGTATTATCCAGTATTGTATTATCCAATATGGTATTATCCAGTATTGTATTATCCAGTATTGTATTACCCAGTATTGTATTATCCAATATTGTATTTTCCAATATTGTATTATCCAGTATTGTATTATCCAGTATTATATTATCCAGTATTGTATTATTCAGTATTGTATTATCCAGTATTGTATTATCCAGTATTATATTATCCAGTATTGTATTATTCAGTATTGTATTATCCAGAATTATATTATCCAGTATTGTATTTTCCAGTATTGTATCATCCAGTATTGTATTATCCAGTATGGTATTATCCAGTATTGTATTATTCAGTATTGCATTATCCAGTATTGTATTTTCCGGTATTGTATTATCCAGTATTGTATTATCTAGTATTGTATTATCCAGTATTGTATTTTCCGGTATTGTATTATCCAGTATTGTATTATCTAGTATTGTATTATCCAGTATTGTATTTTCCAGTATTATATTATCCAGTATTGTATAATCCAGCATTGTATTATCCAATATTGTATTATCCAGTATTGTATTATCCAGTATTGTATTATCCAGTATTGTATTTTCCAGTATTGCATTTTCCAGTATTGTATTATCCAGCATTGTATTATCCAGCATTGTATTGTCCAATATTGTATTATCCAGTATTGTATTATCCAGTATTGTATTATCCAGCATTTATTATCCAGTATTGTATTTTCCAGTATTGTATTATCCAGTATTGTATTATCCAGTATTGTATTATCCAGTATTGTATTATCCAATATTGTATTATCCAGTATTGTATTTTCCAGTATTGTATTATCCAGTATTGTATTATCCAGTATAGTATTTTCCAGTATTGTATTATCCAATATTGTATTATCCAGTATTGTATTTTCCAGTATTGTATTATCCAATATTGTATTATCCAGTATTGTATTTTCCAGTATTGTATTATCCAATAATGTATTATCCAGTATTGTATTATCCAGTATTGTATTATCCAATATTGTATTATCCAGTATTGTATTATCCAATATTGTATTATCCAGTATTGTATTTTCCAGCATTGTATTATCCAATATTGTATTATCCAGTATTGTATTTTCCAATATTGTATTATCCAATATTGTATAATCCAGCATTGTATTTTCCAGTATTGTATTATCCAGTACTGTATTATCCAGTATTGTATTATCCAGTATTGTATTATCCAATATTGTATTATCCAGTATTGTATTATCCAATATTGTATTATCCAGTATTGTATTTTCCAGTATTGTATTATCCAGTATTGTATTATCCAGTATTGTATTTTCCAGTATTGTATTATCCAATATTGTATTATCCAGTATTGTATTTTCCAGTATTGTATTGTCCAATATTGTATTATCCAGTATTGTATTTTCCAGTATTGTATTATCCAGTATTGTACTATCCAGTATTGTATTATCCAGTGTTGTATTTTCCAGTATTGTATTATCCAATGTTGTATTATCCAGTATTGTATTATCCAGTATTGTATTATCCAATATTGTATTATCCAGTATTGTATTATTCAGTATTGTATTATCCAGTATTGTAATTTCCAGTATTGTATTATCCAATATTGTATTATCCAGTGTTGTATTATCTAGTATTGTATTATCCAGTATTGTAATTTCCAGTATTGTATTATCCAATATTGTATTATCCAGTATTGTATTATCCAGTATTGTATTTTCCAGTATTGTATTATCCAATATTGTATTATCCAGTGTTGTATTATCCAGTATTGTATTATCCAATATTGTATTATCCAGTATTGTATTATCCAGTATTGTATTATCCAGTGAGGTTAAACTTTGACTCATAACACAACCTCCCTATTGTTTTGAAATTCCCCATACACATGCCAGCGTTCATGAGCGTGTTAGATAGGAGTGAATGGAGACGAATGGTGTGAAAATTTGTGTGGACTGCCTCCAAGTGAGTCACCTACCCTGGCAAACTCTGTTGACACTGAGCTCTGAGGTGGGTACCTCAGCCTCACAAGTGGCTTATAGGACAGATTTTCACAAATGATTGATGTTGCAAGAAACTCGCCTGCATGCACGTATAAAGGACTAACTTACTTGGTGTTGCAGCATATATCCTGATCTTCAACTTCCCTAAGCTTAGCCTTAGCCCCTTTGGACTTCCCCTCAGAAGCCACGTGCAACCGGGAGCCTTAATTCCTGCAATATTCAATCGTTATTAGTGTCCTGCCTGCACCTCAGAAATTCCTATATCCAAGAGGGTGTGTATCCCCTAGTATAAACTATGCAGAACGGACACTAGCTTCCAGACTGCCTTGAGACACTGGTACTTACTGGGCATGCACTGCTGTTGCACACCGGGCCCACAGATCAAAATTCACTCACAATTCTCCCAGGACACTGGCAAGAAATCTACGAGATAAGTGGAGGTCTTTCTTACTGTATGGGCCTGACGGAGGTATCTACGGTACATCCCAAAGGTGCCTCTACCAGATTTCCCAGGTCTCAAATGTGAAGGGCACGTGGGGGGCGCGTTGCTGATCACGGCACGTCTTGTCCAGTTGGTGTCTGTCTTAAGAAGAACGAGCTGGTCTCTCTTCCAGACCCTCGTCTCTTCGTTCAAAATAGGGCTGCCAGTTCTCCCTAGCTAACTTATCCTAGTGTTTGCCTACATTATCGGCCTATTACTACCTATGTTAAGGTCTTAGGTCTACATTATTATTATCTACAGTTGCCTCAATGATCCTAATATTAGTGTACTACCAGTAAAACTACCTACTCCTTCCCTGAAGGGTAAATCTATAAATTAAATAAGCTTACCAACAATCCACGCCAACTAGAGAATGCTTTGTTTTGGGTGGGGTATAAGGGCCACCCAGCTCAGCCGTTCCATTACGGCCATGCCGGATCTGTCCTGTGGAACTTTAGGGACCAAATAAATTTCCACAAATGGTATTTGGGACCTGACGAGCTGTTGGAGTGTGAGCAGGGTAATATTTAGTGAAGGGATTCAGGGAAACCGGTTATTTTTATATAACCGGATTTGAGTCCTGGAAATGGGAAGTACAATGCCTGCACTCTAAAGGAGGGGTTTGGGATATTGGTAGTTTGGAGGGATATATTGTGTATTTTTATACATATACATGTATACTTCTAAACTGTTGTGTTCTGAGCACCTCTGCAAAAACAGTGATTATATGTGAGTGAGGTGAAAGTGTTGAATGATGAAAGTATTTTCTTTTTGGGGATTTTCTTTCTTTTTGGATCATTCTGCCTCAGTGGGAGGCGGCCGACTTGTTAATATATATATATATATATATATATATATATATATATATATATATTATATATATATATATATATATATGCAAGGAATTCGCGAGAGCATGCGAAATATACACAAACACTGATCTCTGGCTGAAGGAGACTCGAACCTACGAACCTTAGGACAAGGTACGCAGTGCTTTACCAATCTACCCACACTGGACCAATACCTTGGCGTGTAGCATCCGCTACACGTTTGATCCAAGGCAGCCAGCTTTCAGGGAG